GGTACCGGTCGTACCCCATTCGGACGGCGAACTGCTGCACTTCGTTTGGGCCGTGCGCCGCGATATGCGGGCGTCCGCGGAACAGGAACAGGTGTTCGGACCGAGAGCCGTAGAACTCTCGCAGCGTAATAAGCGAGCGCGAACTCGTCGCCCACCGCGCCGACCTGTTCGTTGGTCATCGTCGCCACCGCTCCAAAATCCGCCGCACCCATCCGAGCGATTTCGGCGGTCGATTCACCACTGCCGCCGACTATACTGCTGTGCCGTCGCGGTTCCGGTTCCGGTTTTTTTTCTGTTTTTTGCCGCCTATCAGTCGTCTCCGCCGCCGACACGCTGTTATAACGCGGGTGAGGTAATGACGAGTGTGTGGAGATGCTCGCAAATGTCTGCTCTTCAAACGGTATATTATTACGAAAATTATTCTTCGACATGGACGCGTTACATTCGACGTTAAGTTAAACTGACAAGTACAAAAGTATGATCTGTTCGAAGCCATCGCGATAAATGTATGAAACAATGCGAGTTTCCGGTATTTCTATAGTTACCGCCGCCTCGTATACAGGTAGTGATGGCTAGGTTATTGACGATCGATATATTGGATCGGCCAGTAATAGCTATAACAATGGGATACGGTTTAGTGTACCGTATTACTTCACACACATTATTTGGGTACATATTTTTATATTATTTAGTTACAACAATGCGTTATTATATTATTGTCGTCCCTTCGTGTTATCATTGCGAGGAAAACCCACTAATAAGTTAACTACAGGGTACATTAACCTAATGTAAGGTTATATATCAAAATAATGCCTATTTCAAATGTTTTGCGTATAATGTATTGGCGCGCACAGTTTTTTTGACATGTCTCAAAAACCCAACGGTTTCCCAGTAATATAAAAGTTAAATATCATGGAACGTCATGTACTATTTGAGGAAAAAAAATATTTCAATGCTCGAGTGCCGGAGCATCAGCACGCGTCTTCGGTCGATACCTTTGTAACGATGATTTTACCATCTGCTGGCCGCCAGGTCTTAGACTTTGAAATAATTTTTGCATTAACACTGACCGAAAACTATGGGGAAGTGCTATTAAAACGGAAGACTAATTTTTTCGATAAGTAGTTAGGCATGGACGATGGGACTTGGTGCTAGGGCTGGTTGTATTTCCAGTTACTGTTGTCGCCGAAATTACCGAAAATACCATCTACATTTAGAATTTATGTAGGTAGGCGATCATAATTTAGTCAGTTTTATTTTATCTGATATCATATTACTCAGAACAAAAACAACTATTTTTAGAATTCCCGTTTGACACTGGTAATATTGTTATGCATTTTTTGAATAAATTCCCCAACGGCATTATGAAATATTTTTCGATGTATTTATTACAAAATAAATAATTATTATAAACATAATTTTTAAATAGACGTTACATTTTTCCGTGTTGGGAAAACTTCACTAAATGCACCGAAAATACCGCAGATACGGGTCGTAAACGAAAAACAGATACCGGTGTCAACATTTGAAATCCCGCCAGCCCTAGTTGGTACACATTCTTCACAAACGATGCTAAAACGGGTAAACATAAGAATTTTTAAACTGGGATCGCTGATGGACCTATTATATATTTTGCGTGCTTGGTGTTATTGATTTTTATTCACTTTTTAAGTATTGAAATTTAATTTTAGTATTTTCGATTTTTAACGGACAGACGAATGTTTTAATTTTGCAATATGTTTTAATTTTTAATTTTGTTATTAAAAATGTTTAATATTAATATCGTAGGTTATATTAACACAAGGTTCAATATACGGTTTGCTTACTAAAATTATAAAAAAAAGTATAGCGTTATTCCACAAATATTTGTACGATCATCTGAAGTTTAAACATCGACAAACTTGGATGAGTAAAATCACGATTTCAAAACATTTTAAGTTTAAACGTTGATGAATTGGATATGTAACCAAATAATAACAATTTTAGTTATTTTGTTGTAATTAGTTAGCTCTACAAAAAAAAATACTATAGGATAATAAATAGTCTAATTGATTCTGTTCAGAATAATTAATAATATCAATGATAATATGTATTGTTATAGAATTTTGTTACTTTATTTTAACTAAAGTAATTAGATGATAGTTATTATGGTGTTACGTACTATTTTTTTTACATATATTTATGCACACATGTTAATCACAACTTAATTAAAAATTGAATAAAATACTGTTTATTATATATTATATTTTGTATTATTTTATTTATACTAATTTGACTACTAATTGTGTATCTTTATATATCAGGATTCTATAACTTAAGAATTTAAATATGGGACCAAACTAAAAGTAACTTAATTAAAACTTTCTATCGGTGAAAAAATTATTTTCAAACTGCAGAATATATTGAATGTTATTTTGTAAGAACTCAACATTTACCTAAATTAAAAAAAAAATGAAGTTTGCTTCTTAGGTATATTTTTTTTTTAATCTGTCGGTAAATACTGAGTTACAACTTCAATGGACTCACTAAAAAGCATAGACAATCAGTGCATTCACAACAATGAAAAAAAGGATCCCACTCTAAATAATTTTGGAATGAATAAAAACATTGATAACTGCCAAAGGAACTTATTTTAATACATTTTTTTTGTTTGTTTGATTTAGTAAAACAGTATGTATATGCTGATATTTATTGTATGAAATGTCTCTAAAAGTAGCTTATGTTAGATTAAAAAATTGTTTTATAAGTAAAATTTGTTTAAGAATTCATGACATATTGAAATAGAAATATTATATAAGTGAAAAATGATGGTATTTAAGTGTCTGAAAAATTATTATATTTATTTTCATCTTTAAGCATAGTAAGAAGAATTGTTTTATTACAGCTAATACACATCTGCAAAAAAAGATATCCTATAATATCTTATCTTATCTCATCTTATTGCAACAGAGACCAGACTGTTAAATATATAGAACATTTTACTCGTGTTGATAAGTACTTAATTATTATTTGATATGGACGATTGAATTATTATTATTCAAATATAAATTAATGGCAACGACAAATATCAAAACAAAATAATTAATTGCAATTTGATTTATTTTAACAATTAATCTATGTCTAATTTATTTGAGTTGGTCAGTAACCTATACAACGCATTCTAATAATCCCATCGGTCAGTTGGATAAATAGTAAATACATAGGTAGGTATAATAGTCAAGTCAACAACTATTGAATAACTAATTAGTTGACTGTTGATGGCCATTAATCATCAGTCAACAGTACCAACATTAGTCACATTAATAGCACCGCGTTACCTATAGTTATTGATTTATATAATGGTGCATGAAAGGTTTGGAGCACATATTATCTTAAAATAACATTTTAAAAATCAAATCTAAACACACAATTTACTATGCGTCTTTTTTAGTTGTATAGCTTAACTTTGTAACATCAGAGACATGACTATAACAGATAGGTTAACCTAATATACAAATAGTTATTGCCTAAGTAATTTGATATGTCAGTTGATAAGAAAATGCACAAATACAAACTGTTCCGCTTAGACGTGACTTTTAAATGTTTTTTTTTTTTTTTTTATTTAAAAAGCTGCTGAAACATTTAACTTGAATTCGGAAGAGAGCTTTAGAAAAAGTTTTAAAAAGTACTCGTGCTGCCGTGCTGGACGGATGTAAATTGCAAGCGCACGTGTACATATACATATACACAAACGCACACTCTAACATTGTCATCCACAAAGGACAGTCCCGACAAAGTGATTTATGTACACCACATATAATAAAATATTTTCAGTTGGCGGAATAATGGCGAAAGCGCATCCTGAAAAATATTTTATTATTATTGTTATTTTTTTTTGGCCAGATTCGCAAAAATATCCTTAGGGTTCTAGATTACACACGGTTTCTCTTGCATGCAAGCCTTTAACGCATATTTTAACAAACAGTCATATATATATATATGCCTAGTGTTTAATTTAAAAAATATATATAATAATAATTTACTTTAACAAATACTTGGACAAATGGCACGTCAAAATTTAGTAAAATATCCTGTCATGTTGTCCATTATTTGTTTTTAAATAACCAATAAGTTAGCAAGAAACCAAAATAAAAATGATCACAGAAAAAAAAAACTGTACTGCATAAAACACCACCGAATATATAGGTATAAGATAGGGGAGTGCCTATAACAATATATTGCCAGGTATTTCATTACAAAACAATATTATCTAGTTGAAATTAATAAAAAATTACACAATTCATTAATATAATATACGATTAAAATATATTTAATGGGGCTTCTGTAATTATTAATACTTCAACTTTACACTGTAATTATTAGGAATTAGTCGATTAAAGATTAAACGAACCGTTAACCTCAAATCTAAAATTACATAATATGCAAACGTTTGAAATGCATTCAAATATAAATGTTGGTAGGTACTTTGTTCTATTATATTATATTGTTATAATAAAAAAAAAGTTGGAAGCCTTAGTACACTATCGATCTGAACTAAGTACTTACGTCTTTAAATTGTATAATAGTTTGTAAATAGGGTGTTTTACGTGATATTGTTAGAATACCTACTAAAACGGTTTTGTTATTTTGATACGAATAATACAACAATAAGTAGGACGTTGGCAGAAGTTCATAATGTACGACAATATTTGTAAAATTATTTTTTATTTTTTATTTTTTTCTCTGATTATATCAGTTAATTTTGAGAGCCAAACTTCTGTACTGCAGAAGACATGAGAATTTAATCGGTATGTCTGAGTTGATAAACTTTAAGCAAATTAAATTCAACATTATATCCATTACGAATTACGATATAGGTACCATTTTTATTATAATAATTAATACCTAATAATTTGTTATAGGATATGACGATGTGTTATAAATTTATAATGTACACTAAGTAGTATTTAAAATTATGCTATTGGCATAAGCCATAAATAATAACTATGTAGAAGTCTTACCTTATTTTTACTTCTTTTGACTGCCATTCGCTATGTCTTTCAAAATTGATTAATATTGCCGCTATTTCCTGAAAATACAATAATACAAAAACATTTTTAATTTACATACATATAAAAATATCATATTATATACATTGTATTTATTTATTCATACCTTAGTTTAAGTTTATTATTTAAACGATTAATATATAATTTAACGAATAGAATGCACGAGAGTATTACCTGTACGTTTTATAAAACTCGATTAGTAATAATGAAAACAGATACCTATCGAAATAATGTTGACCTACATTAATTAGTTATCTTAAACTTTTTTGATTTGTGTTTTGTTAATAATAGTTCTAGGATATGAAGATAAATATTAAGTTTTTGTTTTAAAGTTATAATATTTAAAAAAATATTATTTATAAATAAAAACACTGAATATTTAATTCTGGTTTAAAACTTATCATAATTAAAATCAAGTCCTTTTTCCTTTAACGCAACTAGCTTTTATTTAATTTTTTATAAGCTACCCTAAAATTGTACTCATGAATGATATATTAGGTATGTTTCATGATAATACAATCGTAGAATCAATTTTTAAAACTCACATAATATGAATATTGTACTTTACTTTTTTTTGTTAAATTTATTCTATTCTTATAAAATAGAATTTATTTTGTCTTTATAAAATATTTAAAATTCTACCTATTAACAACAATGTGTATACTAAAAATCAACATTTTTCAATTTACAGTGAGTGTTTGTATTCAAGTACACTTAAAAAAAAAAATCTTTTAACATCAACCTTTTAGAGGAGTTCATTTTTATTGAGTTTATTGGGTTTCTTTCTTATTATTTCGTTTTTATTATTCAGTCCATGTAAATATAAATTCGCCCTATTTTACGAATAATTAAACACCTTAGTTAGTTTATTTAAGGGATTGAATTAAAATATTTTTGAATGTAAATTGATTTTTAACATCAATATTTCTTGTAATGCTTTAAAATCGATTTTAATACAAAATGTTACATTGAATCAAGTCCCATAATCCCTCACGAATTAAAAATGTTAGTGAAAAATTATACAAACTATTATTTTTCTGCTTGTAACCGTTTTACAGGAATTTGTTCATCGACCCTAATCAGCTAAATACATTTTTTACACTATTATAAGCGGATGTATAACATTTGATTATTTTTTTTTCAACCCATGTTAAATATAATTGGTTTTTATTCTTCATATTTATATGAATAAATTAGAGTTTGTAAAATTGTTCAAACCATAGTTAAGAACTTAAAATATGGTACATTTAAACTAAAATAATAACTAAGTGAGACTTATAAGAAAATATAGCATAACTAAATAGTAAGTTCAAGTCAATTATTTTTTAAAGTTTAATTAATATTTAATAAAAATGTTTTAAATACTTTTCTTTTAAATTGAACTGTGTTAAGAGGAATTTTTCATTGAATGCTGTAACTTATTGCTGTCTCGTAAATACATTATTGGCGAGCGTGGTACTCACTATATTACTAAACTTTTAAGATTGAAAATAGAACAGCTCTCAAGTGCCATTTAGTACAAAGAGCAAAAATATAATTTAAAAAATGTCTTACACAATAAGTACATATTGTTATAATATTTAAATATTTTGACATCTTGTTTTTGATACAATATCTTATATAATAATTTTTTCTATCCGACCAATTGTTTTATAATTTTCCACTTTTTCCAATTATCGGTATTATATTATAGCGTTATTATTTAGGGATAATTTTCTAACCACTATAGAACTTTTACATCCTCTGATTTCTACCCTCCCCACAGTGTCGGTGTACGTAGATACTGTTAGCACGAAACAGTCAACTACAGACTACAGCAATAATCTAAGTCGGAATCCGTCTTACAATATCGACTTACCTATCTATAAAAATAATGTATGCTAAGGCGAACACCACTATCGTATCTAGTATTATTATTATCATGTTTATTTTTGAGAAAGTGTTTCCACAAAATGTTGATACGTGTATAAACTATAAAATCAAATTAGCTTGTAATATAATATGTGCATACTTAAAAATGTTGTACATAATTATTATTCTTTTGAGTTGTTAATGTGTGTAAATGCGTTTTTTAATCAAATGTATACAATTTAACACTTCATCATTATTTATTGTGTTTAGTCCATGAGTTTTCAACGCTCGGTGATTGGCATTGTTTGACGCAATAATAATAATGAACGATTATGAGTGTCAGAGTGACAAAAACAATTCTAGATTTAATTTAAATTTTACTTTGGAGATGAGATAAAGTGTCGACTTCGTAAAATATCTAAGATTTTATTCATATTGTATCTATAGCAAATGTGTGATGTAAATTTGTTTCATTTTAGGGTAGCTATTTCCATAAAACCAGATCTCTTACACTGTACGTTACACAGCTCGATTGACATTCATACATATTTCGGCCAAGATAAAATTACAAACTTTTTTCTTTTGATCTTTGGCTTATGAAATTCTATCTTAATATTAAATGGATCAAAGATTACCACAAATAGTTAGTTAAATGTAAAAATGTATCCACCTACTATATTCAGGTCCTATTAAACAATGCGTTTAATTTTATTGGATAAGACAATTTAGTAAATTGGACGGATTCGATGCTGATCACAACAATTAGAAATTCACCATACAATATGAAGTCATTATAATATCATAATATATATACTACATAGCCTTTGACGGTGATTCTCTGTTAAAAAAAAAACACCGAAAAAGCAGTTTTTAGAACTAAATTGTAATATGATGTAGGTACCTACAGTATATAATTTATATTGATATTTTAAGTAATTTATTCAGCTGCCATTTAAATGTACATTATATTAGGTGTATGGTATACCTATAGATACTATACTGTCACGGTTAAAAGGTTAAGTCACAAATGTAATGTAGGATATTTATTATTAAAAAGAACCATTTAAATCTTTTGACATTTTTATTTTAATATAATTCATTTTTGTTAAGGTATAATAAAATGATGATTGTTTCAAGGCATTAATATTACCGGATTAACTACGTAATGTATTATGAAATTAAAACGATCGAAATTTAATTCGTAACTCCTTTACTGCCATTCAACTTGCATTAAATATTAAATTTAACTAGAATAATACTATCCAAGGAAAATGTTCGGGGTCAGACGGACACTGCGTGTTCAAGCTGTTATATGTATATAACGAATTAATGACTGTTGACGGATTTTCTCGTCGTGTAATAAATAAAACATATTAATACTCTGGGAATTATACAGGAAGATAACCGTTTACGACTATTTTTGAAATTATATCTGAATTTTTATAAATGTTTAGTGAAAATATTTCTTGAAAAGTACTGAAACATTAAAAAAATTGATAGATCGTTTGAGCACAAATATTGAGTACATTAAAAAAATTGTACTCCATAACGATTAATAGGTCGTATCAAATATAGAAAAAATTAACAACCAATTTGTGTGCGTGAAAAATAATATTTAAAACCATCAGTGACATTATTGTACTAAGGAATTTCGAGAACACACGAAGTTACAAAAAAACACTCACCTACCCACCAACTCACCCTTCATTTTTATATGTAAAATTTTTTTCCCGCTGTGCTCGACATATATATTTACAAAGCAATTTAAATTAAATATTTTATAATAGCATTGTCATCATAAAAGTATTACATGATGTTTATTATAATATAAATGCACACTTAATACAAGTACATGCAAATTAATGTTTAACAAACATTAATTGTAGTCCCTTACATTTATATATTATGTTTATACTATGTACATAAGACATGTAAGTAATACTTAAGAAAACGAGTCTAAAAAAGTACCTACAACATAATATAGCTAATTTTCTGTCAGCAAAACCAATAACTATTTATCGTTATAGCTATAATATATCATTGAATTTAAATATCAAAGTATTACCAAACTTTAAGATATGAGCTTACGATATTTTAATTTTTAAGCAAGATGTAAAATATTAAAAGTGTTGATTAATTGCTTTTTGTAAATTGATTATAAATAAAACTCTGGCAAAGTTGTCTTAAATATTAAGCATATTTGTTCATTATTATCGTTTCATCGTTTTCATATATAACATAAATAAATTAAGTTAACTTTGTTTCTGCTGGTTAACCTCCATCAATCAAACAAATTATAATCTAAAAATGTTTTTATTAGCAGATAGAAAGTATATTATATAGCCCCCATATTTTTTCGTTTAAATTTTTTTAATATTTTTTTAATTTATTCTTCAAAAATATAATGGGCAGCTGAACATGCTAGTGTGGGAGACGTACATCACGTTTACTAGATTTGCAGAGTCATTATGTAATAATATGATTGTGGTCTACGACAGAATAATTGGATAAGGTGCGAATTCGATTGGTCGAAATACAAAATCTTCCAGGATATAGAATATTTTATTCAGCAGTTCTGTATTGGTTCCGAGATGTTTAAATTGGTTCATGGATTGTTTATTTTGCGGGGCTTATCCGAATCGATTCTCCAGTTAGAATTATTATTTAAATAGTTTATAGCTTTTTAAAAACAATTTGTTAATGTTAACTACAAAAGCCAAATTCAAATAAAATAATAGTGTTTGGTTTTATCAAAATGATATGTTCAGTATGTCTATATTAAATGTGTCTTGATAAGAAGTGTTTAAAATTAATACTAATGTAAACGTGGTATCTAATTTATTATGTCTCATACAGTCGTAAACTTATATTTTTTATACTTATTAAGTCTGTGTATTGAAATTTCGTTAGTTTTATTGCTGCAGGTTTAGCATATTAGGAACTAGAAAATAATCACTGGAGTTTATTTTGTATAATAATCCCATTGGGAATCAATTTGAATGTCAACTCTTAAGTGCCTATGAATACCAATAAGTCAATGAATCAGTTTTAGTTTGTAGACGACGGCTGTGAATGTATATAAACTTGTATAACATAAAATGATTAAATATTATAAAAAAAATCATTTTTATGTTTAATTAATAATTGGTTCAAACGTGTTTCAATTTTT